TTCTATTTTCTACTAAATTTACTACTAAAAGTGCGTTAAAATGTGGCGCAGAAGTTTTTCTCAGAAAAAGTTCACACAACGGTCTCTTCTGTACCATTTTTTAGCGACAACTTTGCATTATCTCTTGGATAAATTTCGCTTGTGTTTGATTTTGTAGTTTTTATTGTTTTTTCGTGGGTTTTAGTAGCATTGCTGTGTTTGATTGTTGTCAAGTCAACTAGAGTCAAAGTCATAATAAAAAATCTTTAAATTCACTTGTCTCTTTTACACAGAATATTTCATTTCTGTGCTAATAATACGTCAATGCGCGTGCGCCTATACTTAATTTAGTACTAAAAATTAGTATCGTTGCAAAAGGAAAAACATATTTTTAGTTCTAAATTTAGTACTAAATTAATTACTTAATTTAGGGCTAAATTTTAATACTTAATTTAGTATTGTGACATACAGCCATTACGTGTTGTAAAGTCGTAAAAGCCAGGGGGGGCAACTGCCCCCCCTTGCCCCCCCCCCCTAAACGACGCCCATGGTACTATGTATAAGAACAAGGACTCTAATGTCAAAACTTCAGGTTTGCAATAAGTCTTATTTTAGCATGGTATTTATTTTTCTCTAATTGCGTTGTCACTATTAGTGGCTGACGTTATAGAAATTTAAAATATCTCACTATTAACTGAGGCCCTTCCTATGGGGCCTCAGTATTGCTTTCGTGTAGAAGAAAACATTTTCATGTTTTCGATCATTCTAAGTACGTAAAGGCAAAAAAAAATTTCGTCTGGTCGTCTGTGAGTATGTGTGGTGGCAGGATAATTCTAGAAAGAAAGATCCAATTAACTTGCGGTTTTGATTTTCTTAAATAATTGCTTCTAACTTAGAACCCTTTTGATTTTCGGTTTAACTTAACTGATTTAATATCAAATTTCTTAGAATCTCATGCATTTCTTATGGGGCTTATTTAACGCATTTCAATATAGTAAAATCAGAATTCACTGGGCTACAGTGGTTTTGTTACCCTAGATATAAGATTGATTTTGGATATATTTATGCTAATAATTCATGAAACTGTTAATGATTTCGTAAGATTTGCTCTCGTTTTCTTTTAAATCTTAATTTTATTTTACATTACAAAAATCAGAAAACAAGAAACAAAATAACGTTTATCAATTGCTGTACAAATGTAATTAAAATAATCTCTTTCCCTGTCCAACTCTTTTAAAAATTGCTTCGTCATCCCTAATTTAATGTGTAGTGGTGGAAGTTTGATTTTGTCTCATATTATTTAATTTTTTGGAAATTATTATAAAAGTACCTAGTATGTTATATCATTTTACTTTTCATACCAATATTTAAAAAATAATGAATTTATTAAATATGAGAAAATCAAAACGCCGAATTAATTAGGCTAGTAATAACTTTTTTAATAGGAAATTAAGCCGGCCCTATTTAATATTTACCGATCGACGCGGTAGCATCTGATAACGACTCGAGACTCGATGCACATGCTCAAAAATACCAGCACGAGCTGCTTGTTAGTGCCAAAAGTCAATTATTTTATTGCCGATGGCGATTTGGCGATGGTATTTGGTAAAAACTTCGTTTATAAATGTTTCTCCATAAACATTTCGAAGTTAACATTATTCTTTAAATTATAATATGAGTTGACATGACTCGCGTAAGATGGAAATTTTTCTTTCAAAGGCAGCATAGATTTTTTTTAAAGATATATCGCATTATTGCCACAGGGACTTTCATTTTTTTTTTTTTGTGGGAATGACTAATGCGTAAAGGGAAGATCTGGTCCATTACCAACATCATTTAAATTTAAATTGTATATACTAGTTGGTGACTCGAGGAAAAAATGACATTGATCTTGCCTCAAATCTAATGTACATTAAAAACTTAAAAATTAAGTAGATGAAGGTCGTTTATTGTGACAGTTTCTATTTTAACCATAGATACAAAAGCAGCATGCATAACAAATATAAATAAAAAGTATTACCTACTTAACTATTCACTGTAAAACTATAATTATGTATACCTATTTAATTTCATATGTTATGTACTCATTTTTACAGTAATTTGCGATTTGCTTTCTTTTATTAGAAAGAAATAGTTTTATATGTCGTATCGATGTTTAAATTCATTTCAATATTAAATCTGTTTGTAAAGAATTTGATTGAATTGGTACAAAATTTAATCCATTTTCGATAATAATGATGATGAAATCATGATTTTATTTTCCTTCGGAAAACAATATACAGTGGACGAACGTTCACACCATATCAATAAATGGGACAATGTAGCCTTTTGAAGAATGTTCTGCTTTCCAAAGATTCATTACCGTTTTATTCTTAATACTTGAAATTCTTGATTTAATGTTTTCGTATTTAATTTTTAATGAACGTGTGTTCCAGTATTTGTCTGATTCCCTGTTAAAATGATTTTTAATTCTACCTCATGTAGATTTTTTCTTTGGTCACTGCGTCTGTTAAGTTTTCTTCTATTGTGTTCCATTCACACAGGAGGAATTTCATTTTGTAAAAAATTACCTTTTGTTCGTCATTCCTAATGCCTAGGAAAATTTTAAAAACACAATAAACACTACTAAATAAAAAATTAAAGAGATTTGACAAATTCTCTAAGAAACAAATTTTAAATGCAGAGCATAATAATTCTTATTAAAAGTTTAATTGAGGACACGTTAAGTGAACAGTCGGACCGGTCGAAAACGTCTACACAAAAAAAACGACCAACATTATCATCAGGGTTGGTCGGAATGGTCGAGAAATTTTGTCTGACTCTGGAATTCAAAACTGTCTACCGAATGGTCAATTGTCAGCAATTGTCCGTTATTATTGCACTTGTACAGACAAAATCTTCCAGTTCCACTAATTAATATAGGTGAGTTGAGTATTTTAAGACTTATAACGTCAATCCTCAACGATGTTCCATATTTTTTTATTGTCTAACTATACCAGTTAACTTAAACATTGACTTAACGCAGCGTGGGGATCGATTCTCGACTTGTACGAATTTGCTTCCTACGAAATTGAATTCCTACGATAATATTCATATTTACTTTGTCTCTAACGTTGAGCATATTAGTCAGAACGGTAGTGAAATGCCATTAGACGATTTTTGTAAACTCCGAAAGATACGTTTAAGCAGAGTAAAATTTGTAGTCGCACACAACAATGATCTTATAGAATAAAATGCATCTTCTAGTATTAGTTCCCACTAGTTTTCTCTGGTATTAAAAGCTAGTGTAATCGCTTATTTCCATATTATACCATTATACCTCTAAACTAATTCATTTCCTTGAAGGTTGTAAGTAGAAGATCGACTTGTGCCTTAATCAGAATGTATATAAAATTAAAAATTAAAAATTAAAAATAAGTTAGTAAAGCCTTTAATGACTGACGAGCAGGAAGAATATGGACATAGATAAGCAAATGGAAACAGTGAGAATTCATCAACGATAGTCAAAATATATTTATCATCACCTGTAGTTGGAAGGAGCCTCATAAAATCAATATTGATCCTATCAAGTGGTTGAGTCGCTTTAATTTCTTTATAAACTTTGTTTTAAGCTCCACACAAGGTAATGTCTTTTCCAGATTTCCTCAATCGAATATGGAATATTTCTGGAACGCACCCAGTGGATCATTCTTCTAACTCCTGGGTTACAGAGTACTTGATGAAGATGGAATAGAGGTGTTTCATTACTGATCGAACTAGCCACTCTACTCAAGGCACCTGAGTGTTTTCTCATTGTTAACTTTGCTTTTATGTTATTGATTAAACATGAAAGAATGAGTTTTTTGATCTATTTGCAATTGTCATGATTCCGTCATTTGACGTTTTTATGTTATGTTTCCGTTCAATATCGTTGACGTCAATAAATTATTCATAACAGCCTTCGGGTTCTGACTTCAATGGTAGTGGTGTTTAAAAATTTAATTTGGTATTGTCACAGATTACCCACGTATTGTCTTAAAATTAGAATTAAGAAATTGGTAAAGGGTTTTTTAGGATTGTTATTGAAAATTAAATTTTAAGAAAGATGTTGACGGAGATTATGTCATATACTTTTAAAAATGAAAATATGTTAGAAGTTGAAGAAAGTTATAAAAAGATAAAGAAAAAGGTATTACGAAAGTTTTATTTAAAAAAGTATCTAGAGACAGGAGAAGCACCAGTCAGAGTAAACCAGGTAGTACAAGAAGTAAGGTAGAGCAGGATACAGCAGAACAGGAGGAATCGAAAAACCGGAAGCTGAAGGTGTAGAGCAGCAGGAGTTGAAACCGGAAGAGGTGTTAGAAAAATAAGAGAACTGGATGATTGTTAGATTATATAATTAATTTGAAATTTTTGTAGGAAACCATGGAAGTCACTACTCTTAGTGCTAATAGTATATTGGAATAGTTCTACCTTGTCTAGGGTGGAACTATTACAAATAACTTAAAATGGGTTCCGATTAAGAAGTGACGTCACCTTTAGAGTGCTTCCACAATCGCGTATGCTTCTTTTTCTATGAATGAATAGTGTTTTTCACTCTTGATCAAGGTTCTCGAAAATAATGGTACAAGTCGACCTTCTTGACTGATCGTAGCTGCGATTGAACGTTCTGAAGCATCGGTTTCTACAACTAATGGTATATTGCTGCGAATAGCTGTTACTGCAGATTTAGCTATTTCATTTGGTAAAGATTAACGGCGGTCCATAACTTCATGTAATCTATTCCTTGTCCTTTGTTATTTCTTTTTCAATTTCATACCTGGATTTCAACTTATATTTAAACGCTATTCGGCACCATACTGAACCAAAAATATTATTTACTGAATCTGAAAAAATATACAGTGTTCCCCATCCCTATCCCATATCTACTCCTAACGTATATTTCTCATTCTGTCTATTAACTTTCACCTTATTTTATTTCTTAGTAGTTCATTTTTTGTTAGATTATTTTTTGCTGGTTTGTTTGTTAATTTTTTGGTGGTTTATTTTCTTGGTGGAAAACCAAAATCTTCGTAAGAAAATTCCGAAAATGTAGAAATAACTTGATTAGCATTTGTTCTCATGGGATTATCTTTTGGCAAGTCTGGATTTGGAATCATTACCACTTGCATACCAGCTGTTCGTGCAGCGGCGACTCCATTAGGGGAATCTTCGAATACCAAAACCTATAATCATAAAAAATATGTTTATAATAATAGTAGAACTTGTAATTCATAAAGTACTGCGGTAGTAGTACTAATAATTAAATATATTCCAATATCAATCTTATACTGCTATACTGAACAATTTTGCACAAATCTTTTTTTATAATTTATAGGTATTTTACTAGCTTGTATTAGTTTAATACTGGGTATGCGCCAGCTTTTTGTAGTAAAAATGTTTTTCTTCAGTCTATTAGTGTGTTCTAAAGCTGTTAAATAAATCTTATAAGACGAAACTTATTCTAAATGCCTAATATTTAGGTATCATGAATGATGTAGTTTTATCTACTGACTTACAGGTCTTCTTATAATAGTTTGGCTAAGTGTTTTTAAAATAGATGATTTTTTTTGATGTGATGCTTTTTACTAAAAACCCTTGTTTTTTGTTAGTAGCGATCATTGTTGTACTTTTCTGGTATATATGAGTAATGTGCTATGCAAATCAACGAAAAAACAAAAATTGTGATATCATCACAAAACAGCCGCCTTTGCTTTGTTTGAAAAAGGAAATAGATCCAGGATTTATTTCCTTTTTAAAAATGATTAACAAATCTTTCGTCAATAAATGCGTAACGTGTGGGTTCTTTAGTTCCTTCTTAGCAATAATAGGTGCTTCTTCCCAAAAGCTAATTTTATTAAAAAGTAATTTTGTCATATTTTAGTATTTCTTTCCTTTAAAAGTATTTAGCAAATGCGTATAAAAGGTCTTCCAATTTATTCCCAACTTTTTTCGTTTTTTTTTGTGCCCGAATAACTTAAGGGATTTTCGCAAAATAACACAGCATAATTGGCAAACTGGAAAAATATGCATTTAAAATTATCAATTATTTTTTTTTAATGCCTATGGAAAGATCTCGAATTTTTTTTATTTATTTTTAATTTTTTTAGGCCCCCCAAATTGAAGGATTTACCGAAATAAAAAAGAATAATTGGCGAAACGGAAGTTAGTAATTAAAAGTGTTTATCAAAAACTAAACATTTTAAATTACCAAGACTGTGAAATAATAAAACAATAATATTTTTTCTTTTAAAAAAAAAAAAAAAAACTAAAAAGTTCGGGGCTCGAACCACCAACTTGCTATCCACACTACCCAAATTTTGAGCACACATTGATAGAAGTTTGGAATCGCTTATAATAATATATAACAATTTATTACTATAGTAAATAGGACTTATTTTTATGTTGGCCGGCAATTAAACCCCGGAAAAAGTGTCTGCCTTTTTGGAATTATTTTTTTTTATATTTAATTAAGACGCTATTAAAATTTCAGCGTGAATTATATTTAAAAAAAAATCAACTTTGGGGTTGATTTATTAATTTTAAACCCTCTCAAAAGTGTCTGCCTAAATTACTGGAATTTTTATAATTACCTAAACTTTCAATTGTTGTTTGTTGGCCTCTGAATCAAACACTTTTTTGGGTCATATTTTACGACCCCTTTCTATTATGCGCAGTACCTGGTGTCCCGGGGTGGGTCTAGCCAACACAGGTATATCTGCTTTTCTATCCAAATGATTTCAAATTACAAAATTTCAAAGTGTATCAAACACTTAATGACATTTGTGTTACTAGCTCTTGGACTATAATGTTATGTGAGCCATTTCATTATTCAGTCATGCTCACTGATCTGTATTATACAGATCAGTGGTCATGCTCTAATCCTCAACGTGATAATGTTTCTGGTCTATTCCAGATATAATGTTTTGGTGGAGTAGCATTCTGGAATCCACCAATTTGTATATAAATATTGGTGGAGGATCAACAAAAAGTCATTAGTAGATAGACAGTGGTGAAAATAAATAGTGAACGATTCAAAGCATTCGAAATATATATAAACTAAAATAGTAGTGTTATAAAATTAAATAAGTGTTTAAATAAATTATTAATAAATAAACTGTTGTTTAAAATAAACAAACATCACAATAATGTAAGATGATTATTTTTTAAAGTTTTACATTTATAGTTATTTAGAGACAGTTATGACACAGTCTTGGCTATGCTCAACTTCTAGGATTAATAAAATTAAACTTACGTGACATAGACACGGTTTTTTAGCAAATCGTGAAGCGCAAACCAAAAATATATCCGGATTAGGTTTGCCGAGTTTAACTTCAGGATCGGAACTACCACAAACTACATGAGAGAATAAAGACATCAAATTTGAATAATTCTTTGTCTTCATTTGCATCAAATCTTCTCTAGATGAAGTCGCCACAGCCATGGGGATACCTGAAGCATGTAGATGTTTGATTAGGTCTTCAACGCCGGGTAGCAAGTCCGGATTCGTTAGATATTTCTTGACCTATATACAGAAAATATTTCTTAAATTATTATTAATAAATCATTTTTTATTATTCGAAATAGTCAATGGAAATAGTAGTTTGTGCAACAAGAGTGGATATGATGGCCATATCGCATGAAGACGAAGTCTATCGTCTAATTGCGATATGGACAATTCATACTGACAATTAGTTTGACAGAATTGTCACTTATTTAAAATTTTAAAAATATTAGTAGGTAGTTGGGTGTCCAAAATATGAACTGTGATTGGTGGATTATATTTTTTTCAGTGTTCTCTCTACCTAGAATGGATATAAAATATATTAGTTCAGTTGAACGCAATAGCATACTTTTTCGTTTTGTAGTCTGTGCGTAGATATGCTAATATCTATGTGGATGTAGAAAATAGTAATTTGTGCAACAAGAGTAAATATGGACAATACACTTGAGTTGTCCAGTATATTTTTTCTACGACCCACTAACGAAAATCTACAAATTTAAAAAAATATTTTGGGTTATTAAAATAAAATAAATAATTTTAATAAATGTATGACTTTTACTAATTTATAAAATAAAATAAACATGAAAAAAAATATTTAATTTAATTAGTTCCCCGCCCAGATTCAAACACGGGCGGGCCTCTCACGTGGAAGACAGGTGCCGTATACTCATCTCCACCTCCACATTTAGGATGGATCTTTGTTTTAATACTTGTAATTAAATTTGTTTCATATAGTTTGATTCAACTTTAAGTTTATTTTCAAAATGTGGACCAAATAAAAACAAAACTGCTATTAATTATTTATCACGCTACCTAGATTTTATGGGGTTTTAAAGCCAATTGAAAACTTTATTGTATTCAAAAAGGAACCCAATTCCTAAAATAAGAAGGAAAATTAAAAATTATTAAATAATGATCAAAATTTTATCGAATAAAGTTTAGTTATAAATCTACATTAACTTATATACAATAACTACACTACAATAACTACTTAAACAATAACAATGCTTAATTCTAATGTCTGATTAGTGATCGTTGTTTTGCTTTGGAGCAAATTAACATATTCATTCAAAGCATAGTGGTCTAACCGCACTTAGTCCAAATTGGGGTTAGTCCACTTTTTTTATAGCCTCATATTCAATTAGCATATTTTCACTAGTAATACCACTAGAGGTCAAATTATTTCCGATATTAATTTGACCTCGCGTGGTATTCGGTAAGAAAATTCCACGCCGAATTATGGTTGAAAATTAAATATTTTTAAAATTTATTTTTCGTTTCTCAACAATGCAAATTATTTTCTCCAAGTCACCAGTGAAACATAAAAGGTGTTGTCGCCTTGATTGTTGAGTTGTCATGGTAACTAAGTGAGACCCTAACCTCGAATATAATTTCCGTTTTGAAGTTGTCAAGCGGCCCGACGTAAAAAAATGTTTCGCTGCAATTATTTAGGCCTTCAAACTGCTTATTTCTACTCATTGTAGTTGCATGGGAATACCATTTGAAAATAGAAAATAGTATATTCTTTAATTTTACGTAAGTTTTGAATAACTACAAGTGGTAGAAAATTGTTTTTCTGCGTTTTTATTAACATGCGTTATGAGCGCTTTAAAATGGTATGAAATTCATAACCAGCGTCAGCAAGCATCAATCGTAGGAGGCTGTGATCATTGTATTTTGACAGTTCAAAACAATAAATAACTCGCGTTTTGTTGCGATAAATAAAGAATATTGCACAGCAAGTAAAACCAACAAAATTACCTATTTGTTTAAAAATGAATCGATTTGAAAATCATACGCTATGCAAAATATGCGTGAAATTGTCTGATGTAATGATCAATCATTGCACCATGACTTACTTACTCGGATTAATAGAGGATTGTGGCTCCAACTTGAAAAACGAAAATTTGTTCCGAATTGTCCACGAATATTTGCACCTAAACTACGCAAAATTCAAAGTGCTGAATGGGAAAAAGGTGAATAAATTAGTGTCTAAATATTATATATATTTTATTAGACATATACACATAATTCAAAGCATCCAAAGTCCTGCATTTTCGCCATTAAGAAGAAAAGAAGTGGCCGAAGAATATAGAAAACACCTTAGCATTGTAACTAAAATGTATCAAAACTAAACCTATTATGTGAACAAATAAAAACCAGTCTGTCAAAAATGGTCTGTTATTGTAAACGTCAAAAAATTTCCAGTATAATTCGCTGTTGGGTACCCCACGAGAAAAAAATTTCCACTAAAATACCTCCGTTGCCATGGTGATCTGTCAAAAACACGTATTTTGATTGGTTCAAAATTACAGGTGTGGAATTTTCAATAAAATCAACTTTTCTTTTTGCCGTTTTATCAATTTTCACATATTCTTCTGCTTGAAAATTTAACAAAATGTCTGTAAATTTGAATATGTCAGGATGTGATTTATAAAAACATTCGTTAAATTTCGAGTGAAATAATTCCACATGCGTTTGTAGTAAATATAATAAGAGATGATGAAATTGAAGCCGTAAGGTGGAAATGTTGAATCTTCTGTTAAATAATTATCGTGATGTTTGTTTATTTTAAAACAACAGTTTATTTATTAATAATTTATTTAAACACTTATTTATTTTATAACACTACTATTCTAATTTACATATATTTCGAATGTCTCTGAATCGTTCACTATTTATATTCACCACTGTCTATCTACTAATGACTTTTTGTTGATCCTTCACCAATATTTAAATACAAATTGGTGTTTCCAGAATGCTCCTCCACCAAAACATCTCATAACCGGAATATACCAGAAACATTATCACGTTGACGCGAAAGTGCCTCCGCCATAGTCCTCACATATGTTTGGTCTTAAGGGGTTTAATTATGTATAATAATCGGACAAGTTGAGCCTCAAAGGCCAAATATGACAGAGAGGGACTTGGAGGATTAAAGCATGACTGAATAATGAAATGGCTCACATAACATTATCAAGGTAATCACAAAATAGAAAACTCTGTCATCTTCTGGAATAATATTAAAAAGTTCATCAGAAAAAGTCACCAACTTCATTTTGATGTAAATAAGGAATACCGAAAAACAATTTTAAATATTTTCCAATAACAGTTTGATTTTTATATTTCGAGGACAAACCTAAATTTTGAATTTTTCTAAACCAATTTTGTATAAAATGAAATTTGCAACAAAAAATAATAATATCGGGCCACACTAACTTGGCTGCATTTTGAATTGCTTTTTCAAAATCAGAAATTATTCGCTTTGGTTTGAAATTCAAATTCAAATCTGCGCATATTGTTATTAATAATGTATCAAAAGTACTTGCACGATTGCTGTGATTTATTTGTTAACAAACAAAACACTAGAGGAACATAAAAACCATTATTGTAGCCATGTATAATAATCATCTGACAAAAATAGTATTGAAAAGTTCCATCTACATAAAAAGAATCTACATTAGATTTGAGAAATAACTAAAAATTGCGGAATTATTTTTCGTAGATAATAAAAAGTTTTCACCTCTATTTGTTTTTAAATTTAAGTTCACTAACACTTGCAGAACTTCTTCCTGTGACTTGGGCAATGGCGGTGTAGATTTTCTTCTTGCAGCATAGATATTTCTTCGAACGCAAGAAATGTCTTTCGTCGTCAGCGGAAAATTGCTAAAATTTTCCTTCCTCAATTTCTTGTGGACAATCTTTAAAGGTCTTTCACATATATCTTCTACAGCTTTCCTCTTTGTAGAATTACTAAAAATTTGCCTGTCAACGTGGATATTTGGAGCATGATTATGCTCCACTGATGCTTTTTCAAGAATTACGTAATTTTCATCACCTTCCTTTGTGTACACTTTTTTGTTGACACCCTTTTTTCATGCATCGCCATCTAACTTTTCCGTCTTTGGCTACATGGGCTTTTGAATATTTATATTCATTAATTATTAATAAAAGTTGTCCCCTTTGACTAAACATCGTTTGGATTCGCCATTTAAAAATTAAACACTAACAGCACGAAACAAATACTAACAGACAAAACTATACTGTAATAATTTCAATAACTGAAAATATTCATCTTTTAAATTTATCCCTACTCTTTCAACTATAGTCAAATTTGTTTTTCCTAAATACCTATCAATAAGAAATATTTAAATATATTTATTTGATTTGGAATTTTTCCCTCTCTTGCAACCATAATGAAATGTGGTTTTCCCAAATCCATTAGACAAATTAGAAATATTTGTTTTTGAATTTCCGGTCATTAAAACTTAAACCCAAATTTTTCTTGCGGGTAGGGCAGTAAATACTTGGTATTAATGTGTCCAGGTAGTTCCGTGGGGCAGTTAGTATTTGCCGGTGCGTAGATAAGCTAATAACTATGTGGGTGCAGAAAAAAGTAAATATGTAATTTATGTACCTTTTCTTCGTATTTTTTTATAAATTGTTCTTGGGTAATTGGTAAATTCAATTCTTGACAAATTATCCTGGCTGTTTCAGGTTCTGGTGTGCCCATAACTTTAGCTCTAACTTCTATGGGATACGTTTTTCCATACTCTTCTGCGATCTCAGCGGCTATCTTTTCGTAAACTGATTCTGACTCTATAAAAAAAATTAAATATTTCGGCATTAATACTACAAATAACTAAAGAAACTTTTGTGGAAACACATTAATAAAAAAAAAATCTAATGTGTCCAACACATGACTTTCCTATCTAGTTATTATAGCCCTTTTCCGGTTATTTTGTACAACCTATTGCAGCACCTCTATAAATGTTTAGAGGATAAACTAAATATATACATTTTACACATACATCTACCTCGAAACATTTTTCTATAGATATTCATTGAAAACGAAAATACTGAAAAATTTAAATTTAGCACTTTTCCTACAATTTTTCCATTACGGTCCATTTTAGAAAAATCATGTATAAACAAAAATTAAGAGATCGATATCGCAAACAACTTTTAGTTCAACAATTTTCATAAAAATCAGAATTTTGCACATTTTGTCAAGTTTCTCGAATACGGACCATTTCAGGAAAATTTGGCATAAAGCAAAAATTACAGATAATAATATTAGAAGTAACTTTTATTTGAACAATTTTCTTCTCCAAACATAAATAACAGATATATTCCATAAAATATAAAAACGGCCGCCCATAAAGTACCCTCTCCAGATGTTCAGACTTTGTTCAAAATCTAATCATTTCACCTCAGACCGAAATAAAACTTAAGTTTAAAATTTAATGTTTTTTTCTTTATCCGTTTTTGAGTTTTCTTCAAAATTCTAAATGTGCACATTTTCTCAAATATCTCGAATACGGTCCATTTTAGAGAAATTATGTATAGGATAAAAATTATAGAGAATTATATTACAAACAATTTTTATAAAAATAGTCAAAACGGATTCAGGGGACCCTAAAACGTAAAAAACCGTCGAAAACTCGAGGTAAAAAAATCATGATTTCTATACTTTCCGTATCTGTATACAGATAGGAAAGTAAAAACGATTAAAATTTCATAATATGTAGAAATATGGAATGATTTACAGAAAATGTTTGGAAAAATTCACGAATGTTAGAGAGTACAACTCTTCTTTTTATGTGTCCATTTTGATTTAATTTAGAGCCGTGCGTAGTTATCATGGATATCGTCAGGAACACACAATAAATATACACGAAGGGTTAGATTTGTTTCGACGTTCGACTACCCTTAAAAAATTATAAGGAGCCCAAGAAATAAATAATTACAAGGAGCTCAAATAGTGTAAAAATTGTAAAACAATTTTCTACTTGAAAAAAAATTATCAATAGACATAAAGGGAACATTAAAGATACAAAAAGGTTTAGAAATCCGTTTTGACAAATGACCACCCCTAAAAAAAATTTGATGGCGAAAATTCGAAAAATTCAATTTCCAAATCGAATTTGACTAAAAATAAAGGTCAATCGCCAGGAAAGATTTTAAGCGGCGGCATTTTGATCCAATTCAGCCAGTTTCGGTGGCTTCAGACGGTGGATAACATTCTCGTAAACGAACAGGCCCGTGTTTAAGAAATTCTTGCGTTTTAAATTAGGAATCTGAACACGAAAGAACCTATAGTACAACAAGAACAAAAATTAAAACGAGGATTAATTTTAACCGCGTATTGTACAACCCGCCGTTAATTTTTTCTGAAATCATTGTTATATATATTTTTTTTAAATTACGGCCCTGTTTGGAACCCCAAAAAACCCAAAAAACACTAAATTTTATTCCCCTCGTAGGAACGTTTTTGTAAACTGTCAAATCCATTCTCCTAATTTCAGTTCTGTGAGAAAACATGAAAAACCTCATTTTTGGAAATTAATTAAAGTTAGGTACATCTTGTGCGCAAGCGCAAAAATCCAATACAGTCTAATATCTTCTGTTATCGATTCCCTCAATCATGCCGATATAATATCTACTGTTATTTTATATGTTATCTATTCCCTGTTAGCATAACATAACAGATTCGTGTTAAAATTAACGTAAACGTTCAATCATAGGACCCATGTTTGGAATGCTCAATTAGGCATTCCAACGACCTGTCCAAATGACTACCAGTGGGTAATGACAGTTTAGATATGGCAACCCTGTTGTCATGTTGTCATTAACAGGGTCAATGATACATATATAGTTATATAGATTGCTCAAAGCTGGTCGTTTACGAGCGGCCATATTGCCTGGCAAATATTTATTAATTTGAATCGGTTTAGCAAAAATGTGTTTTAAAACCAATTTTTAGCCTTTAGATATTAAAAAAAAAATAAGGCATACGGTTATGTTTATTTTGAAAAATATGGATAATCAATCCATGTAACTATCTATTTCATTGACCTTGTCAAATCACCAGGCCTACAGGGTTGCCATAATTTTGCCATATCATAACCCATCAAAAGCCACTGGTAGCCATTCAGTTTGGAATGCCTAATATGAAAAATTTTAGTACTCAGTAAAAGTTAGTTTTTATAATAAAAAAATACTTTTTATAAGAACATATCATTTATGTTCTAGAGATGTACTGTATTTAAAAATAAATTTGTTGCCAATTGGTTGAAGTACAATGAGCATCTTAATTTAAGTACTTAGTATTTAGTTAAACGACGTATCAATTATTAAAAATGTTTAAGAACGTACTTACCTATAATTACTCCATCTAAATCAAAGATAACATGCGTAACTTTAATAGGTTTAGTGGGTTTTTCTTTCGCTGCCATCTTAAATTCGTTTTCGCACAAAAATAAATTTTTGTTTGTTTCTAAAATTGCGTTTATCAGATAAAGGTTTAAAAATAATTTGACGTAACATTTCACTAATCTTACATATGACACATAACCTAATAAAACAATTCGGTGTGTATTGTATTGTTGATAGCAAAATCAATTCCATTTTGTTGATCGTGAACTCTTGACATTTGATAGCTAATTACAAAAATATTATTAACACAGAGCATGAATTCTATTTATGAAAATGTATGATGGATATGCCTAGGTATGTTGGTATGTAAATATACATAAAGACTATAAAATTATGACATAAAGATTATTATAATATACAGGATGTTTGAAAAAGTTGGACATACTTCAAACATTATAACATATTTTTTTAAATTGTGCTGGATATTTGAGGATTTTGGGCAGCCGAAATTATTTTTATTTTTTAATGAATTTAAAGTATTTAGCAACCAGAATAGAATAGTTTTATTTGATTTTAGAAGTGTTTTTCAATTTTCTTTGTTCTGCAAAACTGATTTTCTCCCTACGTAAGTGTTTATAAAAATCTATTACATACAAGCGATCTAGGGAAGTATCTGAATGCCTTAGCATGTTTCCTTATTTTAATGTTGTAGTCCCAACCTAAATGTGAGAACGCATTTAGGTTGTCATTGGATTTTTACAGAAATTAATTCATGTAAGTCTGAATTTGGCTACTGGTGTTACAAAGAAAGGGAGAAATATTGAGAACAAAAATATATAACTTATAATAATGCCGTTTTGTCAAATCGGTATTATCTACATTAAATGTGCATTAAAAAAATTAAAAGAATATTAAATTTCCAAAACAGCTTATTTATTACCAAATTAAATTAACATTTGAACGTAAAACACTACAAAAACCATTTATTACAAGAGAAAATCAGAGGATATAGCAAAATTAAGAAACGCCTGCAAGAACAATAAAGATTGCGAAAATCTTTCAGACAAGGTGTAGGGAAGGTCTTTAATGAAAATAAAGACAAATTTAATAGTTTGAATAGTTATAATTTTAATGCAGAGCTATTAGCTGCCACAATACTTTCAAATTTTCTTAGGACAAAATTAAATGTCGCATGGCGTAGGAATCTACGAGCTCATCCCAAGCATCCCTACAAATTTGGACGCCAAGTTCGGAAACACCCTGTATACAGGGTGATTCACATAAGAACCGACATAGAGCAGAGGCATATAGGGGGTCCCAAAATATGGCAATTTAACGCAACTTACCTCTATACCAAGTTGCTTCCCTAAGGAGTTATAGGCTTTGAAAGTGAAGTTATAAATTTTGAAAAAAATCAATATCTCCGTTATTCTTGAACTTAAAGCAACCAAATTTGGTACACTTTGTGGATGTATTTAGGGCGTTACTTGACAGTAACTAGAGTTTAATTGAAATTTGTAAAGGGGGTATACTGGGTGGCGCACCATTAATATTCAACAGAATTTTGTTAACCCTTGATGGATTTTAAAAATCTTTGCTTTGTTTTGTGGGCAATTCAATTCTTAAACTTATCTTACTCTAGTAATTTTTCGAAAAAACTCATCATTTTCATCAAAAACTCGAATAACTTAAAACGCGCGCTCTAGGTGTGTTATTTAAAATCATCGAAAATTCAAAAGTTGGCTATGAAAATAAACGTCAAACTTGACAATGAAGCAAGTAAGTTGTTCAATTAAGTAATTGTTGTTTGAGTGTTTTTAAAATGAACGGGAAGTTTTCTTTTAACGAGCAAGTTGACATGCTGTTAGTGCTAGGTTTTTGTGAAGGAAACTGTAGAAGAAGTGTAGAAGAATATCGTAGAAGATTTCCTAACCGTATCATTCCCCATAGAGAAACATTTTCTAATGTTGAAAGACGAGCTAGAGAAACGGGCAAGTTTCTCAATAATACTCGAGAACGTGCTGTCGCACTCAGGCCACAAGTTGAGGTAGCCATTTTAAATGCTATTCAAGATGATCCACATATTAGTACTAGGAATTTATCTCGACAAATTGGTATATCGCAGAGTTCTGTGCATCGAGTTATCCGTCGCAATCTACTACACCCTTATCATGTACAAAAAGTCCAAGAACTTTTACCCGGAGATTTGGTTCAACGTGTCAATTTTTGTCAGTTTATTCTACACCAAGATAATAACTTCCAAAAGAAAATTCTTTTTACGGATGAGGCGACTTTCACTCGCAGAGGTATCACAAATCTCCATAACTATCATGAGTATTCTGACGTAAACCCACATGCAATAACTCCTCGGCATTTCCAACGTTAATTCAAAATTAATGTTTGGATGGGAATTATTGATCGATATTTAATTGGTCCTGTTGTTTTACCGAATCGGCTGAATGGTGAAAATTATTTAGAATTTCTACAAAACACCCTTCCGTATCTATTTGACGAGGTACCTTTACAACTAAGGTTGCAACATTGGTTTATGCACGATGGAGCACCGCCTCATTTTAGTATGAACGTAAGAAATTTTTTAAACCACCAGTATCCCAATAGATGGATAGGAAGAGGAAATAATTGCCCACAACGTTGGCCCCCAAGATCACCTGACCTGAACAAATGTGACTTCTTTCTGTGGGGAACGTTGAAAGAATTTGTGTATTCTTCGCCCGTTGCGTCTCAAGAAGAATTATGGAATCGCATTATTCATAAATGCACATCTATTAGGAATAATCAACAGTTATTAGATAGGGTGGATTTTAATTTTCGAAGAAGAATAAATTTATGCGTAAGAGAAAACGGCGATCATTTTGAACAATTTCTTTAATTTATCGATAAACAATTGTTTGTTCTGGTTGTTGTTTAAGTTTTTTGTGTTTATTTTGGTTAGTTGTTAATCCCAGTTTTTCACATTTCAGTATCTGTACTTACTTTAAGTTATTTTGTTACGTATCTAAATAATAATTTGCCAGCCAATTCCTACTGATCACATTAAATGACCTACTTTCTTGTTTGACGTTTATTTTCATAGCCAACTTTTGAATTTTCGCTGATTTTAAATAACACACCTAGAGCGCGCGTTTTAAGTTATTCGAGTTTTTGTTGAAAATGATGAGTTTTTTCGAAAAATTACTAGAGTAAGAAAAGTTTAAGAATTGAATTGCCCACAAAACAAAGCAAAGATTTTTAAAATCCATCAAGGGTTAACAAAATTCTGTTGAATATTAATGGTGCGCCACCCAGTATACCCCCTTTACAAATTTCAATTAAACTCTAGTTACTGTCAAGTAACGCCCTAAAAACATCCACAAAGTGTACCAAATTTGGTTGCTTTAAGTTCAAGAATAACGGAGATATTGTTTTTTTTCAAAATTTATAACTTCACTTTCAAAGCCTATAACTCCTTAGGGAAGCAACTTGGTATAGAGGTAAGTTGCGTTAAATTGCCATATTTTGGGACCCCCTATATGCCCCTGCTCTATGTCGGTTCTTATGTGAATCACCCTGTATAAAAAAAATAGAAAGATAAAAAAACACAATAACTTCTAATACGAGATTACACATCGAGCAATGGCTTTTTCTATGGCAATGGCCGATGTTCGCACTTAACTGCAAATTCGCATAACAACAGTTAACCTATATCTTTTTTACTATAACCCCAGTTTAATGTGGTAAGACTAATATTAAAAATAAATTTAGTTAAATTATAAAACATGGGTCTATTATCTGCATATTTAAGATCTGAGATTATGGCCCAAAATTCAAAAATATCCTTTTGTTTCAGGATATTGATAATAATTTTTTAGAAGACGCCATTCATTATCCAATTGCTGCATATCATTCATTTTTGTCTATTAAATTGGACCATTTTGCTACAATATTTGTAATGCTCATTTTTGTTTTCTATCGCACAGATTGTGCAATTTGTTTTTATAGAGTATAATTGAGGGCCTCCTAAAGAACTTGCAGCTATTGCGGCCCCAAAATACATTTCTTCCAAAGGAAGCATATTTCGTGGATTTTTGTAATCAATGTCATAAAGAGCCGAAGCTCGAAAATCCTTATATTTGCCGCCGCTCGGTCGGCGTTGGCCAGGTTGGCCTGCCGCATTATTGCTAACTATCGAGAGCAGCATTTTGGGGAGCTAGCGGTATTTTTTAGGGAGCTAAAACTGGAGAACGGTAGATGACTCTCCAAAGCGGTAGAAATAACACTTTAGCGGGAGATCTGGTAACACTGCTGGCAGTCTGGCAGGCAAACATTACTGCGAAATTCTCAAAGCCGTCCGACGTGGTTTGACGTTTACTCCCTCTCTACCTACCAAAAGCCTTTCCAACTTCTACTTGCGCTATACAAACTGGAGAATTATCCTGTAATAAAATTAATTATTATAAATATTTACGAGTATACCAAACTGATTTCTTACATATTGAAAGGTAAAATGCGCCAGCACATTCCAGGACCGTTAACGTTTATCCACGCCCAAACACTGACGGAACACTATAATTAATAACCATTGTATAATAATTCTCTTCGAATCGTGAATTTCTACTGTTTCTATGACGATAAACTCATAGCCTTTCACTGTTAGAAGATTGGATTTTCATTGGATTTTCATCGGAGATTACCGCGTTGTTCCAAAATTCCTCCACGTTAATTAAAAATTCATTTGCACACTGGACTCTTCTACGCTTATTTTCTTAAGTTAAAAAAAAACTTTGCGGGCAGAATCAGCGCATCTTTTTAGGCCAGGTTGTTTTAAATGTATTTCTTCTTGTGCTTTCACATTAGCTCCAAAAAGATTTGATGGTTATATTTTATGAGAGGAATATCTTCATTTTCATTCGAGACCTTCCTTAAATCTTGTCTGAAAGGTCTTTGCAATCTTTATATTCTTTTTGCAACTTTTACTGACATTTAATTCAGCACACACTTTACTTAAAGACCAATTTTCTTCCAATTTTGCTACAGCTCTCAAATTTTAACCGTTGAGAACGCGGTATAGATTAACGTCGAA